AAATTCGCAAACCGGAGAGGTCGAGCGCATGGGTACTTCTGTGCCCAGACTTACAACTTGGCAAGTATAATTTCCTTGTGCAACTGTAGTTGTGGGGAAGTAAAAAGAGGAAGAATACTGAGATACAGAGAAAAAACAACAAATAATGTCCCAAACCACTTTCTTAAAATGTTCAAGGTCTTACTGTGTCACAGAACCAGGTGATCACAATGTGTTGTCCCTCTGGGTTTGTAGAGCATGAGCAGTAGAGATGCTTGTTGCTTTGAAACCTCATCTAAAATAACTCTTCCTTTTCAATTCACCCTAACCATGAAGACATCCCAAGGGACAGTGTGGTGCCTATCAGTGCACGTACATCGTCTGCTCTTTTCCCATGGCCAACCCCAGAAGACTCACATTTGCCCGAGACAGCATCTGCATTTTGGGGTGTGCACATATGTTCTCATTTGCACGTGGCTGAGCAATCAGCACCCTGCCATCATGAGAAAATACAGCAGCACTTCTACAGCAGCACCGGCATCGCTGCTGTGCCTGTCCTGGTGCAGCGATGCCTCCTGACCGGGGAACCTGGGCCACAGCTTCCTCCAGCCATTTAGGTAAAATTCAACAGAATGCATCCAAAGTCACCAATGGAGCATAGGGAAGAGGGGACACTGGTTAATAACATTAGACTAAGATTTCATTGATTTCCAGGACCAGCACAAATGGTTAAATCCCATCCCTGGATAAATAGTCCATGCACAGGCTGTGTGGGGCACAGCCAGGCTCCGTGCACCAAGGCTGAGATCCCCTCCCTGCGAGATGGGGGGTCCGTGATGCACCATCCGTGTGTCTCCCACATTTGGCAGAATGACAATCTGCATCCAGTTATCATTTATGATAGAAAGTTTGAGTTATCATTCAACTTCTACTGCTCAGGTTCAAGACTGTGGACTTGCTCAAGAAAACCATCACAACCCTCCCCAGTCCCCATCTCTTTGGCAATGCCAGAAGTGAAGCTTGGTATGATGTCTTTCGCTGAGTGACTCTTGAACATGTGAGTCCCTTTGATATGGCTGCTTCTGCTTCTTCCTATCAGAAAAACACAGAAAGCATAAATGGTTGTAATTGGGAGATGCTGACTAAGCCTCACTAGCAGAAGTCCTAATGCTAGAAGCCTTTGCATCCACCTTTGTTTCTGGAGCGCTGGCCTCAATCTGTGCTATCCAGTACCATCTCTGTGCTGGTAGTGCACATGCCGGGCAATAGTCACCCGCGCCAGCAGCGTCCTGAACAAGCCTTACTTATACAAGCGGGTATAGGTAGCCCTGGCTTTAATGCAACATTAAAAAGGTCTGTGCCTCAGTGCTGTATGCTGTCCCTGCAATGTGTTTTGTGGCTGAAATGTGACTCAAAATGATCTGGCTCCCTCTGGCTCACCTGGCTGTGAAGCTGATGCGAGCTGCCAAGGGAAAGCAGGTGTCTCCAGAGGATGGGAGCAGCGTGCGTCTGCACAGCATCGCAGGGACAGCTGCAATGACAGCTCCCTGACTTTCACAGGAGCAGAGAGGTGACAGCAGAGCCTGCCCTGGGACACAGCAGCGCAGCTCTGCTGCCTCCAGCACCAATGCTGGCTTACACCCTGGGACGATGTTGCCCGCACCACATTGTATGATGGCTTGA